TGGACTCGGACTGGGCTCATTTAAAAAACAGTAGCTACCATGCAGCTGTCTTCGCTGATGTTGTGTCGGCTCTGATTGCCCCAGGCTGCTGCTGCCGCTGCGATAGGTCAGATGGCAGATAGCGAAAAGATTGTCAACTTTCCAAATGCCATAAAGAAATGAGCCAGACCCCAAACAAATAACAACTTCATTTCGCATTGCATATTTGTATATTGTATATCTTTTCTCACCCATTTCACCCGGTGCAAGCGGCCGCCGGCTCTCCGGCCATCTATCTATATCTCACACCACTCCTGGCAGTATCTCCCACTTACTCTGCTCATCTACGAGTACGTATATCGCTGGGAGTTTTTCAGTCTGTGTTTTTTGTGTTGGTTTGGCATGCGAGCCGCTTCCTCAAATAAATCGCACGGCATTTGCATGTTGAAAAACAATTTCTCAGGTCTTGTTCGGCTCGGTCGCTGCTTGATCTTGCTGTTGGATTAGTCGTACTCGTATCTCGGCCCAGTCGGATTCAGAGAGTCCGAGGGGGCCGCCTTTGATGATATATGCCACATGGCGATGGTCATAATATTTTTGCGCAATTCGGTTGTCGTCGAGCGGCTTTTTAACTCAATTTATCGATCGTTAAGTAAATGCATTAATTTTTCTCACCGCACCAGCACCGCTCAGCAGGCACTGCACTGCCACCGCACACGGCATTTCCCCTGCCGTCTGCCTGTCTGCCCGGCTGGCTGTCCCCAATATTGATTTATATTTGAAAGCCAAATTCCCAGCTTGTCAATTAATTATGAGCATGTTGGAATCGAACCGAACCGAACCGATCCGCGCCGATCTGCGCCGATCCGATCCGATCCGATCCGAGCTGCAGTCCGTCCAGTAATTTCTCACTCAATTCGGTTGCAATTGTCGGAATGTTTCCCCGTCGACAGCTCTATCTTGCCACTGATTTACTACATTTTCCATTTTTCTTCGTCGATTTGTTTATTCAACTGATTAGTTTTTGTGGGATGCGGGGAGAGAGCGCCTTTGTTTATCGTTCCCCGCTCTGGGGCGAAAGTTTTCCCTCTTGCGGAAGGTCTATTTAATAGTTATGCATTTGAAGAACTTCCCACAAATATTGCTCCACTCTCAAGCCCCAGTCCTGGGACTGCCACTTGGCCAACATTCTGCCATGATCACAATACAAGAAATATGTTTTAATAATGCCAGCCGCCGAAATTAGGCAATCGTTAACAGACACTCGAACCGATCTGAGAGCTTAGAGCTGAGTGCGCATACATTAACCAGAGATACGAGAGATACTCGCACAACGCCAGTACACCAGTGCTGGCTGTTGGGTGCTGGGGGCTGGAGGCCCCAAGATTTTGGGCCCAACGCCAACAAGAGCGACGATTTGCATTGGATGCAAAGTGGGCGATTTGCAGGCGATTTTCCAAATGCCACAAAATACACATTTTCTGCATGCGATTTGCTAATGATTCCGCCACTAAATGATACTCGAACCGAGCCGCAGTTTCGTTCTCGAGCGGTTCGTGATCACAGACATTTTTCTAGTTCCATTTGGATGGAATAACCAAACTCAAGGTTTGTTATGGCTTCAGTGGAGTGGGGTATCAGTAGGAGATGCAGGAAACCATCTAGAGATCATCTTTGAACTGCAGTGCGGACTGTGGTTCAAATATCAACTGAATAGAGTGGCTGAATCGTAGTGATCAGTCTAGTATATCAATATTGTACCTACCCAAGAGTCCATTCGAAAAGCTAATCTCAACCAAAATCAAATCAATTTTCTATCACTTTTGTGGTAAATGATTTTCGGGCAAGTGATTTTCCCCCACAGCCCCCTGCCCCTGCCCCTGCCCGCTGCCCCTCAGTGACCTGACCCTCCGCTGAGCTTGTGTGGTTTATTTTATGACATTTATACAATTATTTTTCAACACAAGCAACGCTTGTTGAAATATCATTTTATTTTGCCAGTCTGGCTGCCTGGCCTGCCAGTTGGCTGCTTGCCTGCCTGCCTGGCTGCCTGCTTGGCTGCTTGGCTGGGCCCACACCCTAATGAAAATAATGGCCAAAACAAGTTGCCTACCAGCTTGGGCTCGGATCGGATCGGAACGGAACGGAGCTGCTGCTGCTGCTGCTGCTGCTGGTGGTGTCACAATGTCTGGGACCGTCGAGAGATCTGTGACGCGGTTGTACGTAACGTAGTACTTGTAGTTGTTCTTGCAACGCCCCGCAGCTAAACATGAGATGCATTTTTTGTCTCTTTTTTTAAACAGAGAAAAACCCGCCAAAAAACAAAAAAAAAACAAAAAACTTTTGATACGAGGTAGTCTGGTTGTGGTCGAAAATCGAATTCTTGAATGAACCATTAATCTTGTTGGCAGCTTGCCGGACTCGGTCATTAAATGCCGCTGCTGCTGCTGTAATTGCATTGCCCGAGACTCCTGCCGGAGTCTGCCTCATGGACCAAAGCCCGACTTTGGTTTCGGTTTCGGTTTCTGAAGTATCTGAGGTTTCTGCCGTTTTTTTTTTTTTTGTTTCTCTGGCGAGCAAATTAATGCGGGTTTGTCATATTACAATTACGATGCTTGGCCCGTTTGGGCTCTGTCTGTGGCAGCTGGCTTTATTACACCTGCGCCTCAATGCGCCTGCGACGACGACGACGACGACTCCCCTTGGGGTCCAAGCCAATCCAAAATCCAATCCAATCCGATCCGGTTCTCTGTGCAGATACTTTTTTCCACTAGACTCTAGAGAGTCGGTCAATTGGTTGGTTGGTTCTCCGCTCATTTGCTTGCCGGGGGTGCGGTTAAAGTTCAGCTAAACATTTGACAATTTATAATGTTGTTTTTGGTGTGTTCTCACGATTATAATTTGCTATAAATTAAATGAAAATTCTACTAAATTGGGTTGATTTTTTCCCATCTAAACGTTGTCGAGCCTAGGCAGAGGGAGACCTTAGCTAATAGGACTCTCAAGCAGCTCAACGATTCCTTGAGCCATCATCCATTCGTGTGGGATCCTATAAAACTCGTAATCTTCTTTTCGGGGCTTTCCGCTGGCAGGGAGATCAATGTCTCATCCAATCACCTCCATCCACCGTCCACCATCCAGTGGTGCAAACTTTATTGAATTGCCGAATGGGAAAAGTGAAAATCACCTTTCGAGATGTCGTTGTTGTTGTTGTTTTTCAATTTGAAAATTTTCCATGCCCGTCTATGGCCAGGCATAATTTGTTAATTATTTTCCAAAGCGTAGCGTAGCTCGTGTGGCCGCGCTACAACTTAATCAAAGAGATGGGGCCAATTAAAACGCCACCGCGGGATGCCTGCCGCAGCGGTGCAACGTCGGACGGAGCGATAAGAGAGCCAGAGCCAGACCCAGAGCCAAAGACACCCCAGGCGCCGCCGCCCCAGACTCCGAACTAGTTTAAAGAAAGCCTTTCTTTCTCCCATGAATGTTGTATGCGGCATATGCATGTGCACGTGTATGTGTGTGTGTGTGTGTGTGTGGATGGGCCAGGTGGGGCTTGGGTGGGTTGGGTCTCGAGGTGAGGCAAGGTGAAGCGCAACGAAATGGACCAAAGCGAACCGCTGCTTAATTACGACCAAGTAGAGGCGGAACTGCAGCCACAGATCAACTTCATTGATCCATTGACGGATAGAAAGGAGATTGACTCCACTCGGCATTCCCAAAGCTGATCTCTGCGATTCAAGCCAGCGACAATGACTCCTCCAGGGAGTTCATCACGACTCAGACATCAGACATCAGCCATCAGACTCGAGCAGGTCCAGATCCCGATCCAGAGACTGGAGGCAGACCGGACTGGTGGTGGGATGTCTGTGACAGCAGTCTGTGGGCAGACGACCGACTAGCACATCCTCAGCGGAAGTGGGCGAAGTGTGGCGACATCCGCTGGAGGCTTTTCTGATATGCCAGAGATGCTCCTCCTGACAATCTGCCATAATTTGAGCAGCTCTTGCAGACATCTAATCGAAAATCAAAGCCTTCGAAACTGTTTATTTCCCTGGGTATCCTTTGCCATTCAATTAATTCCATAACAGTCCCTCCATAATTTCGCTCCAAAGTCCAGTCTCCAAAGGAGAAGAGGACTTTGGGTCCCACCACCTGCCATCTACCTCCACACACCACACACCACACGCTTCTGCCTGCTGCCTGCTGCCTCCTGCCTGTCAATTAATGGACTCTGTCTGGCGGAGCAAACCAATTTCATCTTATTATCCCACACAGAACTCAGTGGAACAGCACGGAACGGGTTCTGACTTGGGTTCTGGGCTCTAGCACTCACGTTTTGTGTCCAGTCTCGGTCTCGATCTCGGTCTCGGCCTACCTAAAAAATATGAGAAAAAAAAGAAAAGCAGAAACAGGAAAACCAACGCAGACACAGCCGCAAAATGATTTGCAGTTCATTAAGACGAAACCCCCACCGAAATCCCAAGGAGGCAGGCGACGAGGGGGACTAGACGATGACTAAGACCCTGCCTGCTCGGAAGGCAGTTTGTGGTCCGCACGAGAATGAATTGTGAATTGGTTTCAGTTTAGTCTGGGTCCCGTCCAGAGGACTCTGCAGCCAACGCAGAGTCGCCAGACATGTGTCTGATAACGTCCCGCCCGATTGTTTGAGTGATGATTATGTCTGCTGCTCCGAGGACAAGGTGTGGACGTGGACTTGGACATGGACGTGGACTTTAGATAAGCCAGACAACAGCCTTTGGGATAGGGCTGGGGCTGGGGCTGGAGCTGGAGGGTGGGCTTGGCTGATTAGGAGGCTAGAAGGAGTCCAGATGAATCTCTGGGCCATTCGATGGCTTTCTTCGCGGCTCCGCTCCCTGTGGCGCACTCGTATATGGCACCAATCGATGTGCAACGCCTTTCCTTTCCCCCACGAGGCTCGGCTGACGAAGCATGTCGAATCCCCAAAAGACTTTCATCATTGATAAAGCTCTAATGCTCCACTCTATTCTCACTTGCAGCAGCATCGCCAGGAGTCGCAGTCGCCGGACTTCCATCGCTATGCGAGCAATGGCAAACTGCCGCGGGCCTCCGCTGCAGCATCGACAAACGGCAATGGATTCGTGGCTGGCACCACACAAACCGTCACCGTGGATGTGCACAACCACAATGGGCCGGCTGGAGCTGGGGCTGGGTCTGCGGCTGGGGCAGGGGCAGGCGGCAAGCAGAGCAACATCATCCACAGCCACAGCCACAACCACAACCACAGCCGCAGCAGCAGCCTGAGCCACAACATCCATGCGGCGGCGTACAGCGAACTGAATGCGGCACCACCGGCTTTTGCTACACCGCCGACGCGTAGGCGGTTCTTCAACCACAAGAATCTGCGGAGCGCCCTCATCGGAGGAGGAGGAGGAGGAGGTGGTGGCGGCGGTGGCGGTGGCAGTGGTGTAGGCGGGGGCCACCGACGCACAGCCTCCAACGGGGGCTGTCCCATTGACACGGCCTCGATACTAACCGGCGGTAAGTTTAGACTGGGCTCAGACCGGGTTCAGCTGGGGTTAGGTTCCCTCCAAAGTCCCCCACAAAAGCAAAAACCAAAAAGAAAGCCAAACATTCACCCAGCACCTTCATCCAACCACCATCGTTGTCCAGATCATCACCAACACCATCATCATCATCATCATCATCATCATGACCAAGCCAGAGGCAAGGAATCGAACGCCCTGAACACCTCCACCTGCTCGGACTCGGCGGTGACCCGGAGACGCCGCAAGAGCGTCAGCAGCAACAACCTGAAGACCTCGACCTCGGCCAACAGCGAGAACCGCCTGAATCGCCTCAGCCTGGCTGGCACCTCCGTCTACGCGGGGCACCTGTCCTCGCTGGTCTTCGGCAAGATCAAGTCCCTCTGGAGCGTCAACTCGTCCAACTCGAGCGAGGCGGGACTCAATCAACTAGCAGGCAATACCCCCAACCTCCATACTCCAGTTCTTCCAGATGTTTTGCATGTGTTTTTGCACCACGCCACTCACTGATTGTCCTCTGATCGCCGTTAACCCCATATAGTCCTTCGATTTGCATGATTTGAACCCTAGAACATTGTTAGATGTTTGTTAAATGTTTTGCATGTTATTAAACCTTTAAAATGCCTGTCCTAACACTCGCTTCCTCTCGGTTCACAGGTGGCGGCGATGCCTTGGACCATCACTCCTCGTTTCTGAACGAGAAGCTGCAGAAGGATCAGCTGCATGCCCGGCTGGGCCTGCTGCTAAACGACAACTGCAATGGAAACTCCAGCAGCAGCGATCCATCGCCCCACTCGACGAGCACCACCAGCAGCAGCGGAGTGGGTGCCGCCAGCAGCACCACCACGAGCAGCTCCTCCCAGAACATCAGCCCCGAACAGACGCTGGCCAGTGGCGGCTGCTCAGGGCTGCTCAGTGGCAGCCAGCTGTCAGTGGCCACCAGCCACCTGGCCAAGGACGACACCCTGAGCCTGTCCAGCAAGTTCAAGGTCGGATGCTCCATGCTGCATGTGTACGAGGCGCTGCCGTTGCCGGGCAAGTCCCGCAAGGGAGCCACCCGACGCTCGACACGATCCAGCCAGCAGGCCTCCTCTGCGGGAAGCAATCGAGTGGCGGGCTCAACGCTGGCGGCTGTGAAGCTGGCCCTGAAGCCGCTCTTCTTTGAGGTGCCACTGCAGGAGCCAGATCCGCCGTACGTCGGCCGCCAGTGGCTGGTGCAGCAGCTCTCGAACATACTCCTCGGCACCGAGACCCGCGTGGTGCTCATCAACGGACAGCCGGGCACAGGCAAGACCGCCTTTTGCCTGCAGCTGGTGGAGTACTCGTGCTTTGGCCGCCGCCAGATGCAGGAGGACCCGGACGGCATATACAGCCAGCTCCAGCTGGGGGCTCACAACGAGCGCATGCGCGGCCTGGCCTCCCACATGGTGGGCTACCACTTCTGCCAGGCGGACGCGAATCTCACGTGCCAGGTGCCGGACTTCGTCCACTCTCTGGCCGCCCAGCTCTGTCAGGCGCCCCAGCTGACGGCCTACCGGGACTATCTGCTCTCGGAGGCCCATCTGCAGGAGATCCTGAGTGTGCGCGAGTGCATCGCAGATGCGGAGCGGGTGATGAAGCTGGCCATCCTGGAACCCCTCGCGCAGCTTCACCGGGCAGGGAAAATCCCCGCCAAGGTGGCCGTTATCCTGGTGGACGCACTCTGCGAAGCGGAGTACCATCGACCCGACCACGGCCACACCATTGCCAGCTTCCTGGCGCAGCTCACGCCCCACTTCCCAGCATGGCTAAAGCTGGTGGCCACCGTGCGCACCCAGATGCTGGAGCTGGTGAAGGCCCCCAGCTACACGCAGCTCACGCTGGACAGCTGGGCGAGCAGCCAGTCGCTGCAGCAGGACATGCTGGACTACATCGGCGCCAGGCTGTCCCACAGTACGGATATTCAGCACAACATCGGGGGAGCGAGTGGCGGACAGGGACAGCCGGCGCAGGCCCAGACCAAGTTCGTGTCCCACCTGCAGTCGCTGAGTCGCGGCTCGATGCTGTACGCGAAGCTCATCCTGGATCTCATTGCGCGCGGGCAGCTCGTGATCAAGTCCTCCAGCTACAAGGTGCTGCCCGTCTCGCTGGCCCAGATCTTCCTGCTGCACTTCAACCTGCGCTTTCCCACCGCGCGCAGCTTCGACCAGGCGGCGCCCATACTAAACGTTTGCCTGGCTGCCCTCTACCCGCTGACGCTGGACGAGATCTACTACAGCATGGAGGCGCTGAGCCATGGCCAGGAGCCACTCAGCTGGCCGGACTTCATGCAGCGCTTCAAGCTGCTCGACGGCTTCCTGATCAAGCGTCTGGACAACACCTACATGTTCTTCCACAGCTCGCTGCGGGAGTGGCTGATGCGGCGCGACGAAGGCGAGTCCAGCAAATTCCTCTGCGATGCCCGGCTGGGCCATGCCGCCATCGCCTTCCGTCTGTCGAGACTCCAGGCTCCCCTGTCGCCGCAGCTGACCTTGGAGCTAGGCCACCACATGCTCAAGGCACATCTGTACGGGGGAAGCAGCCAGCCCATTCTCTCGCCCCGGGATCTGCAATCGTACTGGCTGGCCGGGACGGCGGACAACATATCCGCAGCGCTGGGGGCTCTGCGCAATGTCTACAGTCCCAACCTGAAGGTATCCCGTCTGGTTCTGCTGGCGGGCGCCTCGCCGAATCATCGCACGGACTACATGGGTGGGGCTCCGATCCTGTGCATTGCAGCACACGAGGGCATCCTGCCCATGGTGAGTCTTCTGCTGGAGTTTTGCGCCGACGTGGGCCTGACCAACAGCCAGGGGTGCACACCGCTCATCCTGGCCGCCATGCGCGGCCATTGCGATGTGGTGCGTCCGCTGGTGGCCGCTGGCAGCAGCCTCGGCCAGCTGGACATCACTCAGAGGTGCGCCCTGGTGCATGCCGCTCGAATGGGCCACCTGAGTGTGGTCAAGTATCTGCTGGCCTGCGAGTGGACGCCACGCCCCAATAGCCAGGATGTGAGTCGGTCTGTGGCTCTGCAGCAGGCTCTGATCGGGGCTGCCGCCCAGTCGCATTGCAAGATCCTCGAGGATCTGCTGGACCTCAACGAGAATGAGTTCGATCTGGATGTCAATGGCCTGGAGCCAAGCAGTGGGGAATTGGCCCTCACGGCTGCCGCACGTCACGGATGTGTGGACGTTGTCTGCATCCTGTTATCCCGTGGCGCTCAGATCGATGCCCGCAATCGACAGGGATACTCGGCCCTATGGCTGGCCGTCAAGGAAGGCCACTGGAGCGTGGTGGAGCAGTTGCTGCAGAGGGGAGCGCTGGTGGACGAGCCGCTGGGCCAGACCCGCAAGACGCCGCTTATGATTGCCGCGGAAGAGGGCCACCTAGAGCTGATGGAACTGCTGCTGGCGCGCGGAGCTGCTCTGGAAGCGCAGGATCACGAGGGATTCACTGCCCTAAGCTGGGCCTGTCTGCGCGGGCACTTGGCGGCGACCAAATGCCTCCTCGAGCACGGCTGCAACCGCCACCACGAGGACCACAACGGACGCACGTCGCTGGATCTAGCTGCCTACCAGGGAGCTGCCGGTCTTGTGTTGTATCTGCTGGACCATGGCGGCAATCTGGAGCACATTGATGTGCATGGAATGCGACCTTTGGACCGTGCCATTGCCTGCCGCAACATCCAGGCTGTGCAGGTGTTCCTGCGCAAGGGCGCCAAGCTGGGCCCCACGACCTGGAGCATGGCCATGGGCAAGCCGGAGATTCTGGTGGTGCTGCTGAACAAGCTGCTCGAGGACGGCAATGTGCTCTACCGCAAGAATCGATTTCAGGAGGCTGCCCATCGCTACCAGTATGCACTGCGCAAGATCTCGGGTCTGGAACAGCTGTTGGAGCGGAATGCGGTGTTTGCCCAACTGCGCACCAATCTGCTGCTGAATCTGTCGCGCTGCAAGCGCAAATTGAATGTAAGTCGATCCTCATTTACAGCTAGCCATATATGAATGCTTATGCTAACCATTTTGATCGTTTCAGGAACTTGACGATTCCATAGATTTGGCAACGCAGGCGATTGCCCAGAAGCCGCACAGCTACGAGGGCTACTACGCACGCGCCAAGGCGCGAATGGAACAGGGGGCCTTGAACGAGGCTCTGGTAGACGCAAATGAAGCCATGCAGCAGGCCGCCCAGAGCGGTGTACTCTGTGAGGTTGTCGAGGTGCTGAAGCGCATACAGACCGAGCTGCTCACCCGCATCTCCATCAGCAGCGAGGATCACTTTGCCTCCGGCAAGCTGCCACACGTTGGCAGCGTCAGTGGCGGCGGCGGCGGTGCCTGCGCCATCTATGAATCTCATCACGAGATCACCGATTTGTAAATGTCGATTGTTGTGTATTGTTTTACTCCTGGTATCCCATTCGAATTAATCACGATTCTAAATTTAAAACTACCTTTAGGCCTAACTCTAACTCATTTTTTTTGCTATTTATTGCCTTTGAACGTTTTAATTTAAAATTATTATGTCTTTTAAAATCTTTTTAATTGTGTAATCTTTTTAGTCTGTAATTATTAAATAAATTCGAATTTTTTTTTTATAAATACAATTGAAATAAAACATGTAAGGTATAAAATTAGCATGTAACAATACATTACATTGTAAAAAATTAAAACCTTTTGTGTTATCTTTTGGGGTGGATTTATTTCAAGACGACGGCATACTTTCAGTTTGGGTCCTAATAAGGACTCTATGAAGGATTCCGACAACAGACGCCCTGATCGGCCCACAAATAGTGAAGAAAATCAAATATTTTTGACTGGCGAAAATATCCTTGATCCTTGCTAAGGACTTCATCCAATCAGGGATATTTTTCCGATCACAGGAAGCCGTCGAACGCCACGATCGGCGTACAAATAACGGAGATAAGACGAAAACATTACTGGCTTGTCGTTATGTAGTTGTTGTTAGCTGCTGTACAACAACAACAACAACAACAAACCTCAACTTGCAACTGCTCAAAATGACCGAAAACGAGAAAATTTCAGACCAAGATACCAGGCGAACAGAAATCAGCAGAAGGTAACTCAAGCGAATGCAAATTTTTTGTTGCATACTTTTGGGGATTTACAGTTGCTTTCTGCAGATTTCTGTTCGCCTGATACCCAGCTTCGAAATTTTCCATGTTCGTCCGAATAATTTGATAGTTTTCCTTTGGCTATATCTCGGCTATTTATGGGCCGATCGAGGCGTGGCATGTCATTTCGTGACCGGGAGAGTCCTGCCAACAGATTGGCACCAGAAAAAAGGACATCCATTCCATCACGATTTTCGCCAAAAATCATGATGGTTAGTTACATCATCCAATTTGCCAAAAATCGGCCTCATTTTCGTGGTCGAGATTTTGATGCCGATCGACGGTCTGGATCCCCACGATCCTGGGAAGGTAGGTCCTTCACCGATCTGGCCGTATTTAGCTGAGATATAGCCTGCCGAAGATTTGGATTTGCACATCACTTAAATACTGGTTTTTTCTACAAGCTATATCTCTGCCATACGGCAGCCGATCGGGGCGTGGCATGTCATTTCGTGACCGGGAGAGTCCTGCCAACCGATTGGTACCAGAAAAAAGGACATCCATTCCATCACGATTTTCGCCAAAAATCATGATGGTTACATCATCCAATTTGCCAAAAATCGGCCTCATTTTCGTGGTCGATATTTTGGTGCCGTTCGACAGGCTGGATCCCCACGGTCCTGGGAAGGTAGGTCCTTCGCCGATCTGGCCCTATTTCCCTGAGATATAGCCTTCCGAAGGTTGGATTTGCACATCATGCAAATACTGGTTTTTTCTGCAAGCTATATCTCTGCTAAACGGCAGACGATCAGGGCGTGGCATGTCATTTCGTGACCGGGAGAGTCCTGCCAACCGAGTAGTCGAGAATTTGATGCCGTTTGACAGACATCGCATCAAGGACAATGAAGATATTGCCCTTTTAAAGTTTAGTCGTTATCCATCCGCTCTTTCTCGATCGGCATCGAAAAAGATCCCTTTTGAGTGTCGGAAAAATCTATTAAAGCTCTGTTGGTTGTTTTAATTAAGGCACATAACATACGAGTATATAACATACATAAAACTTAGGTACATTTTATAAAATTCATAAAAATGTGTGATAAATGCAAGTATTAGTCTTTTCTGGTCGTACATTAGTTCAAATTGCACCGCTTCCATAATCGTAAATGCGTTTCTGGTTCCATATAAAAGTGTATAATGCATGATTACTTGTATTCCTGATTTAGCTGGCGTCCAATTAGCCAGCGTCTGATCTCAGAGGTGCCTGCTCCAATCTCGTAGAGCTTGGCATCGCGCAAAATGCGGCCCGTTGGATTATCGTTGATGTAGCCATTGCCGCCGAGGATCTGAATGGCATCGAGTGCTACTTGGGTGGCTTTCTCGGCGCAGTATAAGATGACGCCAGCGCAGTCCTTGGGGCTGCGGTTTCCGGCATCGCTAGATCTGGCCACAGTATAGAGATAGCTGCGACAGGCGCTCAGAGTGGAGTACATGTCCGCCATCTTGCCCTGAACGAGCTGAAACTCTCCGATTAACTGGCTCATTTGCTTGCGCTGATGAGCATAGTCGAAGGCCACGTCGCAGGCGGCCTGCATGAGGCCCACTGGTCCGGCGGCCAGCACGAGGCGCTCAAAGTCCAGTCCAGACATCAGCACATAGACACCCTTGTTCTCCTTGCCCAGAATATTCTTGGCGGGCACTTTTAGATCCTGAAAGACCAGCTCACAGGTGCTGCTGCCACGCATGCCGAGCTTGTCCAGTTTTTGAGCCACACTGAAGCCCTCCCAGCCGGTCTCCACAATGAAGGCGGTAATGCCATGCTTGTCTGCGACACCGCTGCCTCCTGTCTTGGCGTACACAATCAGGGTATCCGCATCAGATCCGTTTGTAATCCAGAATTTACTTCCGTTCAGCACGTAATAGTCCCCCTTGCGTTCGGCGCGCAACTTCATGGACACCACATCGGAACCGGCCCCGGGCTCGGACATGGCCAAGCCTCCAATGTGCTCACCATTGCAAAGTTTCGGTAGATACTGCTCCTTCTGTTCGGGTGTGCCATTTTTGGTCAGCTGATTGATGCAAAGATTTGAATGCGCTCCATAGGACAGAGCCACGCCACCAGCAGCACTGTGAATAAAGTCTTAAAGATTATTTATAAGGACTCTGACCTATTTAGCTCACCGCGAAAACTCCTCCATTATAATGCAGTGGTCCAGATAGCTTCCACCAGTACCGCCATAGTCCGGTTCCGCTGTGATCCCCAGGAATCCAAGATCGCCAAGTTTCCTCCAGAATGGACGCATCTCCCTATGGATGCAAGTAAATGTTATTTTGCTTCTCTTCCATATCGTCATCGCCTACTTGAAGTTGTCCAGTTTGTCGATCTCCTTGGCGTAGGGCGCAAGTTCTTTCTGGAAGAAATTGAACGCTACCTCGCGCAACTTCTGCCGATCCTCGTCCAGCCCGAACATGGCATCGTTGACGGGATAATGGGCCAGAGTTCGGGTGCAGGACAACTGGCGATCGCTGTGCTGCAGCAAAGATCTGCAGGATTTCGCCACAAATCTCAGAGCCATGTTGGTGTTTTTTTTTTCAGTCAATATGGAACCACAAACCTATTATCTAACCTCCTCTGATCAGCTGTGCACACTCGTCGCTCGAAACCAACGAGTGGGAATCAGACAGGTGGTACGATTGAGATGAGAGTCGAATCCAATCATTAAACACTCTGCAAGTAATAGCATTGAATTTAGGTAAATATATATGCTTTTCTCCAATATAAATATTATAAAATGCTCTATGTTTACACGATGGCAACGCCTGAGCGATCAGAGTGTCAAAGCAGCGAGCCTTTGTCAGCTGCTCACAAGTGCTGCCAGTAAGTTCGATTTAGTATGATTTTTTTCAAGCAGTGTGGCAGCACCCAAGGAAACGATAATATTTCAAATCTGAATTCGAAAAGTTTAGCGGGAAACCAAGTTCTAGATCTGCGCAAGACTCTCCATTGCACTCAAACAGTGATTACCATTAGTTGGTGTCTCTTTCACAAGCAGGAGCTTTAGAGAGATGGTGTTTCGGCCAATAAGTAAAGTAAATTCGTAATTATTGCGTTTTGGTTGGCTCTGCGCAGGACTCTACAAAGGCATGGACTGAATGGCTGAATGCATGGACTGGTTACTGGTTACCCGTTACCCGCTGACGCCGCCGAATGCCGGGCAACGCAGCGGCAACGAAATATGCCGACATCAACAATAACAACAACCACAACTATGGCAGAGAACAAGCAGAGCGAGCACGGTGCAGGCGCAAGGATAAACATAAACAGGAGCCGCAGTCAGTAGGGCTAGAGCCTTGGTCTAAATGGAATTAAAAACGCCGAGACCCATCCAATCAGTCCCACAGTCGGTTCCCATCGCTGTGCGTTGCCCGCGGAGCGTCTCCTTATCCGAGCCGCGTGTTCCCTTGGACTCCAATCCCTTTAGCCCCGTGGTCGTGGACTTTTGTGTCTTGTGCTGTGTCCGTCGAGCATAATGTTATACTTGTAATGATAATTAATTAACTGGACGTGCGGGTCAGAAGGGAGAGCAAAGCAGAGCAGAGCAGCGAGAGCAGAGCAGAGCAGAGGAGAGGAGAGGCCGATGTGCAGCAGCCACTGGAATTACAAATTAATGGAAATAGAAAAAGTGAGAGAAGAAGGGCAAATGTAAGCCAAATAATTGAACAATTCGGCTAAGGCAAATCGATAAATATCCTAGCCATAGGCCATAAATAAGTTGCCGCTGTCGCTCCTACTATACCCACCCATTGGCAGGCGGTGGAGCTCGCTAACGTGTGTGCGTTTGATTAATGGTGCTACCCCGAAACTCGACTCCGTCTCCGTCTCCGCCTCCGCCTCCACCACCTCCACCACAATAGGCGTAACCTATTGTCGTTTTCGTTGTCGTTGTCGTCGTCGTCGTCGCTTTCGTCGTCTATATCCTGTCAATAAACTCTAGCAACGCGACTCAATAAGGACGCGCTTTGTATTGTAGGTAACAATGCCACGTTCCTTTGGAGCCATCCATTGCTGTTGTACCATGCACGCTTTCATGTGTAGTCCCCCATTACGGGCCCAAAGTCATGTCATCCCACGCATTGCACCTGCACACCCCGTCAAAGGTCAAAGATCAAGGCGTTTCGGTCTACTTTGACTGATTAATCACACATATTGTATAGGCCTGGAATATTAGGGGGAAATCGGCACTTTTTATGTAATCATCACCCAGTCCCAGTGCTGGGACGGCCAACACCCCACCACCCCACCATCCGTCCACCCCACTTTCACAGTAATTAAATGCCGCCTAGGTCTATAAACAGATCTCACTGTCAGTGTCTGCTGCAGCATTCTTGGGATATTTGTTTGGGTTTTGTTTGCCGCCCTGCTCCGC